ATAAAAAAAAATTTTTTAATTGTAAATATTTATTTATATTATTACTAATCAATTATAGATGGCAGCACTTAATAAATTTTAATGCCGCCATCAAGCGGTTGAAAATATTAATACGTAATTAGGATTTAATTAATAAATTCGTAATTTTAATTTAAAACTGTGTATTTTTACTAAAATACAGTTAATTAATGATTTTAAATAATTTATATTACGGTTTAATACATTTAAAATCACGAAAACGAAATATAGGACAATTTATAATTGATAATTATTATAAAAAATCGTGATGTTTTTAAATAAAAACACGCAATAAATTTTATGTAACTTTATTAAAAACGATACATTTCCATTTATTACGTACACAAATCAATGATTTACAGATTAAATGAAACAAAAAATAATAATGAATTGAAAAACAGAAATAAAATACAAATTACACACGTCACATACAAAGTATCATACCGCCATCTATCGTTGAGATTACAAATTAACATTTTAAAAAATGTTTAAATATTTAAAAATTCTTTACTTACAAAAAAAACCCAATAAAATTTGGTAATAATCGAAATAAATTCACAAAAAATTATTATTAATTATTTTTGGCCCCAAAAATACATTATTTATAAATAAAGAATTTGGTATTACACAAAATAATACTTTTAAGGCATTTTAAAATTGTTATATTAATCGAAAAATTAAATAAAATCAAAATAAAATTAAAGGAACTCGTTTGAAAGTAAAGAATAATTAATTAATGTAGATGATCTGGATGATGATTTACTATATATTTACATAGATCATTAATGATGATTTGTTTGTTACCATACAGAGCACTTTCTCTGTGGATTCATTGGGGAATTTTTCGGGCAGTTAAAAACTCTAGAGAATTCAGCGGAATTCGATGCAACACCTATAACCCTACAAAAATTAAGATAAAAAATAAAATNGGAACAGTATAATTTCCATATTGCTGAATAATGCATTGTGCCAATTTCTTGAATTTGCCATCAGTTTCATAATCCCACCAATTAACATTATTACCATCTTTATCGAATTGACGCCCTGCCAGAAGGATTTTTAATTAATTATTATGATTAAAAGTTAATTTAGATAAGCTTATATATATTAAATTCATTTATTTATAACTAACCTCTGTCATCAAATCCGTGTGTAATTTCGTGCCCTATTACAAAACCTATGGCTCCATAATTCATGTATCTGTGAAAAATACAGGTTAGATTTAGAAATTTTGAATGGAAAATAAAGTTTGTAGAGAGAAAAATTAGTGTTTAACTTCGAAAATTATATATATATATATATTGTAATCTTTGAGTGCCACTTTGCAGTCTTCTGATGGTGTTCCGTACTGTAATGGAACTTGAGGCGTTGCACGTTGCATTTCAATTTATTGATAAATTTCACGCAAAAATTTCAAATTAAATGTAAATTCTAGATTAATTTAGTAACTTTATCGTTCAAAAATTAAGTAATTAGCTTTTAAAATTCAAAACTTTAACCTATGGATGATGTTTTATGGTTTACAAGTGCTTCCTGTGATGGTACTTTGAAGAATTTGCATGCTGCAATCAAATTATCCATAACTTTTATGCAAAATTATGATTTGTTTTTAAAAAAATGAAATTATGGATTAATTTAAGTAAAAATTGCGACAATGTCAGAAGTTCTAGAGAAGTAAATGAGGGAGTTCTAACTCCCACATAGAACTTCATTAAATTTGAAAATTTACTTAAAAATTCGTATATCTATGGATATTATAGGTTATAATTAGAAATTTTGGATTAAAAATGAAGTTTATTTTTAAAAAAAACGAAAAGGAAATGGATAGAATTTATTAATATTTAACTATAAAAATTCAAAACTGCCATCTTTGAATGCCATTCCAATGCTTCAAATTAATATGGAATTTCAAGAAATTTACATTATATATATACTCTTTATCTCAATTTTACGAACTTATTTAATGCAGGTATTCTGTAGAATTTATTAAATAAGATATATTATGTTATATAACAGTGTAGTCTGGTAATTTGTAATTATGTTATATAACAGTGTAGTCTGGTAATTTTGTTATAATGTGTAGTTTTGTTGTATTGTTCTGCAAAACAATAGTTCTAACATGAATATAATTGCTTTTTAATGTACTCTAATGGCACATTATTATATATTAAAATGGATTTTTGCGCGTAAAATATATGTAATTATGGGCAGGCACACACATCTATTAGTTTGAATGGTCTGAAAAAACCTTTCGTAAGTCATTTAAAAATTTAAGTGCTTATTGTTAATAAAAAAGTATTAAAAATTTATGATAATAATTTAATTTTTGTAGGCCCTTGACCAAGGCCGTGCGGTAGATTTTCTCAGTATGATGCGAGTCTTAGAATTGCCGCTCCTTAAATGCCGCTTATGATGTTCCTTATGCCGTCTCCTTACGATGCCGCCTGTTGCGGCTGCCTCTCTGTACCATAACACGGAACGGCCCTCCCCTTGACACTTGGGGCCAAGGGCTTAAGCCATATTAGTCTCTATGTAGATCCGCCCCTGCATGTATTAGATGAATTAATTTAAAATCACATGATTTTGGGATCCAATCACTTTTTATTACGAAGAGCCACGTGATAAGGCTTACGACATGTAGGATCCGGATTCGAATTCCACACGGATCGTCATCGTTTAAAAAGACTCAGGAATCGTTCCGCATTACCCGATTTCATTGAGGATTTTCCCCAGTTCGAGTGGCCAAATCTTCAACGGGATCCATCCTAAGCGGAAATAAGATGCACCCACAAGTTGGGCCCATTCTGAACGAAAATTAAATCCTTTCAAGGCTCTCAATCATCTAATTTATGAATCAGTGGGGGCTCGTTTTGTATCTAGGATAGACCCAATTGGAAAATCTATTCTGGATCTCATTTCCTTGAGAGTCCACACTCACCCATAACCTCGGTACACGCTAGGATCCTGTATAATATCAAGTATTTTATGACACGGGCCTTATATTATGTAGACTTATATAAAAAGGGCCTCAAGAGTTGGCATTTTCAAGAGTCTCTCACAAGTTTTATAGAATTTAAAGATTAATATTAAAATAAATGCTCACAAATATAAAAAAAAAATCTACTAATTTCATAGTGTTTTATGTGTAAATGCTCTTAACCTAATTAACATTGAAAGAAACAATATTATTATATAATGTTTGGGTTACTTTTCTTATATAATAAATTACGTCAAGGTTAATTTATTTTATAACAACTTAAACGAAGAAATAACGTGATCTATAAACCTATTTTTTCCTATTTTATTGCATTATAAACATTTACATTTAACCGGTTAAACGTTAAGTGTAAATTTAGCAAACGGTAGGTCACCAACTACTGGTTGATACTTCGTGAAATACGTGATTGTGTCAAGGTCTTTGGAAATAGTTCACAAAACGTTAATTTAATAAATTCGAATTTATATTACGTACTACAAACTATGAGGAAAATAAGAAAATCATTTAAATAAATTAAAAGATAAATTAGATTTTATTTATTTTATTTTAAAAATAGAAAGGTTAAGTGCAACATTTCAAGGATAAGTTTCAAGTTTCGTTATTTATTTTAAATGTGGAGGTAATAGATAGGGGATTGGACGTCTAAAGAAGGATAGAACACACGTATACAGGGCATCTTATCTTAGAAAAGCCCTAGAAAAGGCCCTAAGTGGAGAGGTGATGATGGAACAAAGTATTAAATCAGACTAGTTCAAACTGATATCTCAGGAGGAGGTGGGATTCCAGGATTAAAATTTAAGTAGTTAATTAACCGTTTATAAGTTATTATTTATTAGAATTATTTATTTATAAAATAAAAAAGATATATTCTATAATAAAGGAAACTAAGTATAAGATGCCACTCACTCTGAATGCTTCTTTAATTCCTCCATTATCAGCAATGTTTTCACCTTGAGTGTTCACTCCATTAATCTACAAATTAAAAAAAGAAAAAAAAATACTTAATTACAATCATTTAAAAATTAAAAATTTGAAAAATAATTGATGAATAATTCAATAATAATTATAAATAATCAGTTAGGGAGAGGTTCCGTTTAGTGGATCTGTGGCTTATTAAGAAGAGGGCTTCTCTAATTTCATTTAATTGCTTTAATTTTTGGGTATGTCCAACTAACCTTTAGGCCATTTTCTGGAACAGTATAATTTCCATATTGCTGAATAATGCATTGTGCCAATTTCTTGAATTTGCCATCAGTTTCATAATCCCACCAATTAACATTATTACCATCTTTATCGAATTGACGCCCTGCCAGAAGGATTTTTAATTAATTATTATGATTAAAAGTTAATTTAGATAAGCTTATATATATTAAATTCATTTATTTATAACTAACCTCTGTCATCAAATCCGTGTGTAATTTCGTGCCCTATTACAAAACCTATGGCTCCATAATTCATGTATCTGTGAAAAATACAGGTTAGATTTAGAAATTTTGAATGGAAAATAAAGTTTGTAGAGAGAAAAATTAGTGTTTAACTTCGAAAATTATATATATATATATATTGTAATCTTTGAGTGCCACTTTGCAGTCTTCTGATGGTGTTCCGTACTGTAATGGAACTTGAGGCGTTGCACGTTGCATTTCAATTTATTGATAAATTTCACGCAAAAATTTCAAATTAAATGTAAATTCTAGATTAATTTAGTAACTTTATCGTTCAAAAATTAAGTAATTAGCTTTTAAAATTCAAAACTTTAACCTATGGATGATGTTTTATGGTTTACAAGTGCTTCCTGTGATGGTACTTTGAAGAATTTGCATGCTGCAATCAAATTATCCATAACTTTTATGCAAAATTATGATTTGTTTTTAAAAAAATGAAATTATGGATTAATTTAAGTAAAAATTGCGACAATGTCAGAAGTTCTAGAGAAGTAAATGAGGGAGTTCTAACTCCCACATAGAACTTCATTAAATTTGAAAATTTACTTAAAAATTCGTATATCTATGGATATTATAGGTTATAATTAGAAATTTTGGATTAAAAATGAAGTTTATTTTTAAAAAAAACGAAAAGGAAATGGATAGAATTTATTAATATTTAACTATAAAAATTCAAAACTGCCATCTTTGAATGCCATTCCAATGCTTCAAATTAATATGGAATTTCAAGAAATTTACATATTATCCTTAAATTTATCGACAACTTTCGAGTAAACTTTTAAATTTAATAAAATTCTGGAGTAATTTAAGCATAAACTGTAACGTGAATTGCTGATATTGTCACAATTTACGCTACAATTCACGCATACATTAAATGTAAACATTCAAGTTTTATTGAAGGAAAATCGAATTTGAAAGTTTAACAAAGGATCATTAACCACTAAAAATATAATCTAAAAGATGTTTATCGTTTATATTTTACGAGAAGGGGGGATATTTTATATTAATTTAATGCATAAAGTTCCTGAATATTTATTATACTTTTTTAGGAATTGAACTGAAAAATAGATGGAGGAGGGAAATGGATAAAACTACTAAACAACGAGCTGGCCAATAGTTTTCTGGGTTTTTTTCACGTGTCTAACACCTAAATAAGAGGCCTGTTTACTGGAGAAAGTCCTCCCAGGAGGAACCATGCCAAGGTTACCATTATCCATTTAACCAAACGAAACATTAACTAATCTCTAAGAAATTTTTGATAAATTCTAGAATATATTGTTTAAAAATGATTTAGATAAGATATAAAACTATCGAGTCACTGTTGTACACGTAACTCCTACTTCTGTGATGTTATTTCTGGTACCGTCGTAAAGCGAGCCTCCAATCTTCCATAAGCACAGTGTGATAAATTATAATTATGTTCCTAAAATTATTTTAAATATGTAAAACTAAACAGTGATGACATATTAAATAATACGTCGCTTAAATATAGAATTGAATATAATTATAATTATAAATTTATATTATTCGTAAAAATCTGAATCGGTCGTAAAGCGGGGGTAGATTAAACTGTGTACTGTTACCAACAACTCTGCATTTTCTAAAAAATGCAAAGTCAGAAAATGTTAAGAAATATATAAAGTAATATAGTAAATATCGTAAATTGTTATTACTAAACTGGAAATGTTATTTATTTTATTTTTAAATTAAAATTTATTTAAAATATCTATAGTGTATCCAATATTAGGTTCTAGTATACAGTATATAACAAAGGATATTATTATTAAAACTAGTTTTTTAAAAGTTAAATTAATTAATTATTTATATAAAATTATATATATAACAGTTTCTATTATTTTAAAACTGGATATAAGTGCTATAAATAGTGTTATAAGCTGATAATGTCCAGCAGTCTATATAACATTATAAGGAAGTAGAATCCAATTTTGTATGGTTTATTATAAGGAAAATAAAGTAAATAAAACTCTAATATTTAATTGATTAATTAATTGGTAGATTTTTATAATTTAATTAATTAATTATAATTAAATATTTAATAAATTAGTTAGAAGAGGATACTCACGCTGGTCTTTCCTTATCAAAAAATGTACCTTGTAAGATCCCAGCAGGGAATTCTTTTTAAAGATCATTTAAATAAATTAAAAGATAAATTAGA